AAAAAAAAAAAAAAAAGCTAGGCTGAAGTTTCTATTTCCCAGGAGAAGATAATTTGATAAATCATCTGTCTCTTAGGGTTCTTAATTTTGAGAACAAATAAACTTAAGCAATGCTTATTTATATGAAATCATTATGAATATGTTTTATCTTTGCATTCACGTCTAATAACTCTTTAGATCGCACATATTACAGGATGGCATTTCTTTTTTTGAGATGGAGTTTCACTCTTGTTACCCAGGCTGGAGTGCAATGGTACAATTTCGGCTCATGACAGCCTCTACCTCCTGGGTTCAAGGGATTCTCCTGCCTCAGCCTCCCAAGTAGCTGGGATTACAGGTACACCACCATGCCCAGCTAATTTTTATATTTTTAGTAGAGATGGCATTTCATCATGTTGGCCAGGCTAGTCTCGAACTCCTGACCTCAGGTGATCCGCCTGCCTCGGCCTCCCAAAGTGGGCATTTCTTTTTCAAACAGAATTTCTTTTCTTTCTTTCTTCTTTCTCTTTCTTTCTTCCTTTCTCCTTCCTTCCTTCCCCTTTCCCCCTTCCCTTCCCTTCCTTTCCTTCCTTCCTTTTCTTCTCTCTCTCTCTCTTTCTTTCCTTTGTATTTATAGAGATGAGGTCTCATTTTATTTATATATATATTTATATATATATATATATATATATATTTGTAAAGAAGAAGTCTCACTACCTTGCCCAGGCTGCTCCTGAACTCCTGGTTCAAGCAGTCCTCCCACCTCAGCCTCACAAAGTGCTGGGATCACAGGCATAAGCCACTGTGCCCGGCCTGCCATTTCTTTAAAAATACTTCAGAGTTGGCTGGGCGTGGTGGCTCACACCTATAATCCCAGCACTTTGGGAGGCTGAGGCGGGTGGATCACCTGAGTCAGGAGTTCAAGACCAGCCTGGCCAACATGATGAAACTCCATCTCTACTAAAAATACAAAAATTAGCCGGGCATGGTGTTGCACACCTGTAATCCTAGCTACACGGGAGGCTGAGGCGGGAGAATCGCTTGAACCTGGGAGGCAGAGGTTGCAGTGAGCCGAAATCGAGCCAT